CATGCATGGATGAAAAATCAATTCAAAGAGCAAGATCAACCAAATGAATTTTAATGTAACAGAGTATGAAAAGTTCACTGATACCATTTCAGATCTAACGCCCCAACAAAACTTTAAAAAACTATAATCTGTCCACTTTAGGTGTAGGATCAAAGAATACTCATGATTATCCGAAAAGGGAATTAATATACTCTGCCCATTTTCATCTACATATCTGTGTGAGGCCAGATTTTCATTATATACTTCAACACAAGCAATAAATGTATCACAACAGATGGAATACCAAATCAGATATGAGAATTTGCCATGAAAGAGATTTACAAAAAATATAAATGCCATTCTTCTCACTACGTATTTCCTATTTTGAAAATCAGTTGTTTTGCATACAGTGTTATTTATCACCTGTAATGAGTTTGTTATTTCAAAATAAATTATTAAATACATGTACTTTTTTAAAACTTCATGGTTTTCATTTCAAATACACTATATATGGGTAGAAGTAACCCATATAAACAAGGGCTCTTTGGAGTCTTTAATAATTTTTAAGAGTGTAAAAGAGTCTTGAGATCAGAAAGTTGAGGATTGGCTGCACTAATTTATAGTACTTTACCTGTTCTCAATTCCGAACATTCCAGTAGTAGCGGAACTCTACCTTTAATAGACAGCCAGGGTAGGAAAGAAATCCCTGGGGGTTCACAGTGCTGGGGTTGATCATTAAAGGAAGCTTCCCTCTGCTAGGTGCCCTGGCAATGCACTATAGTAACTTTTTTGGGGTGGATGAGGGGTTTGCCTTCTGTTTGCAAAGCAGAGAAAGGCCATTGCAATTGTGAAGGTAAGCAAACTTCTCAGGCTGTTTTAGAAAGAGTGAATATGGAAGCTGAGGATCTGGAACCCTATTCCCCTAAAACTACGTATGCATGTATACCCCTGGGAAAGTCTTCATGGACACCCAGGAATAGGGTACCCCCAAAGATGCTGGTCTACACTCTCTGTTTGTAGAGGTAGGAAGGGCAAAACACAGAACCTTGGACACTGGACATCTGGTCAAGGCTCTGCAAGCATCCTGAATCACAGCCCTTTAAAGAAAATCTGCTCTTCATCTGGACGCACACAGACCTTTCCACAGCCCCAGGACACAAAAGCCTGCTCACTAATTAACCTGGGACTCAATCTCAGTCCTGTGGTTGGTGATTCATCCAGCAGGGCCTGGCTCAGCTGTGTGGTTCTTAGGCTACATGATTTGGCAATCTGACAAACCTAGGGCTTACCCCCAGTTGTGGCTGAGCAAACCCAAGCAGGATCCTTACGTTCTCCTGGCCTCAGTTCCACAACTGTAAAGTGGGAATAACAATATCTACTTTGCATTTAAAGCACCCAGTGCACATTATTAAATTAATAGCTACCACTTTGGTGCTCACTCCTGCCAGGAACTGTCAAGTTCTCTTCATTTATACAATCTGGTCCTCGTGAAAAGACTGAAAAGTAATTATGGTATTTCTTCACTTCTAAGGAGAAATTTTGTCTACATTTAACACATCCAAAAATTGAATTTTGTCTTGCATTGGATGTGCATATGGTTTGTTCTACTTTGCATGAGAAGTTAACAAATCAATGGTGAATCTTATAATAAAAAATGTATGAACTTCTCCACTTTATGAATGTGAAACAGGTTAAAAACATGAAGTAACTTGTCCAAGACCACACATCTGGAATGTGGTGGGACAGAGATAAACACAAGACCGTCTGTCTCCAAAGCCTGGGGTTGCCTGGTCAATTCATCGCACCAGGCTGCCTGCCTCCCCTCGCCCCAGCCCCCCACTCTACCACACAGTCAGGACTTGGAAATGAACTGAGTCCCACCCAGGCCTTAAGTATCCTCTCTGCCCCTTTACTCACCAAATGTAGTTGCCAGAATATCCAGGTGAGGCATCTTTTGTTCAGTTAATCCAACATGTTGGAGGTAGAGTCACTCTGATGCCTGCAGCTTAGTTTAGGCCTCGAGGAACTGAAAACGGACAGCTTACCTGTAACCCCCATCCAACCCCAGCATCGAGGATTCATTGACAATGCAACGTCATGAAGCATGTTGTATATGGGGAACACCTCTCCGCGGAGCCCACCCTCCTCCCCACCACCATTAGGTTTCTTTCTTATAGTCGCCCCACCCAGCCCACCCCAATCTGCACTTTCCCCTGTGCATTGAATCTTATTTGGCTAACGATCCCTGCGCACAAAAGACATAAGGCTTCTGCCATTGGCACACGAGCTATTGAATATCTCCAAAGACTTCTCTCCAGGAGTGTGCAAGCAATCCTCTTTAGTCCTAAGTGGCAGAAGTACCACGTTTTGAGGTGCTTCTGTTGTCTTCATGGGGGTTCTCTTTTAGAAATGGTCTTAGAAGTATGTCAGAACCTATAGGTGAAACCAGTGCCTTGAAAAGATTACCCAAACCATCAATGCATTGACCGTAAAGACCTGCTCACGGGCTGAGAAAATCCCGATCTAAGCCCACTCGTGCTGTGTGGAAAAATGTGAGCTCAAGTAGAAGTTTGTAAAACAACCTTCAGAACTTAACTCCACCAGACTTCAGTTGCCCTGTCCTTAGTCTAAAAGATTGTAGAGGTTTATGGTAGAGATGAAATAAAAGCCTTTAGGAATCTAGAAGAGTCTCTTGTGTTTTCCTTATCACTCTGGATATGTTTCCAATTTGTATTTTAGGATAATTTGGGGGGTCAGATTTATTGTAAAATTTCTCAGCATGTTGCTTTCCTTTTCCTCACAATGGTTGTTAATGACTTTGAAGTTAAAATATTTACATAGTGGAATCAGTATTTCCTTTGTGGTTTCTTTTACTGCTTATAAGCTTGATTTTTGTCCACCCAATATTTTCTGCTCCTTTTTAACAGTTTGGTATTTTTTAACACTTAGGTCATATGGATGGTGCAATGCTATGGTCTAATTAGCTTCTTCTTCTCAAATAGTGGACTATTTTTCCCAGTTCTGCTTATTAAATAATCCCCAATTAAATATTCCCAACACTGCTGGTGAGAAAAACGTTAAATGAACCAAGGGCAAAGTGCGACGAGAGTCAGGCTGGCTGGCTGCCCCCACCAGCAGGTCTGGACCGCGGGTGGGGAGCGTCTAGCGTCAGGAATGCAGGTACCGCCCAGCCCTGCCAAGAGCGAGGCCACCAGCTCTGTTTACTCAGAGGTAAACCCCTCCTAAGCTCCCATTTGCCCACTCCCCACCCCTCCCTGGCCTCCCACCCTCTGTGGCACAGTGCATCTGCTGCTTCTTGGAAGTGCCAGTAAAATTCTTGGGAGGAACTCCTGCAGATAGATTTTGGAGATTACCTGGGGATTTCCACAAACTGGGCCAGGGCTCCCATCTTCTCCTGATGGGCTGCTGATGACTTCTCTAAAGACCCTGACCACCTGACCACCTGACCACCAGCTGGGAGGTATTAGCCCATGCCTCCCAGCCGACAGGCAAGCAGCTTAACGCTGCTAACTCACATTACTGGGGAAAGACCGAGGAGACGTGGAGGGGACATTCTATAATGGTTAAGGCCGCAAACTTTAGAGTCCCAGATACCTGAATTAGAATCACTAAAATTTACCTGCCAAGATAAGGGCTAAGTTACCTTCACTGAGTCTCGAATTCCGCATCCCTAAAACGGGCATGACAGTAACAGGCTGACCTCTTGGGGGACCCCTAAGGATCACTGAACACGGTTAACTAAATCTTCAGCACTGCAGCAGTTAATATTTGGCATAATGACTTTATCTGCTACAGGGGAATTCCTACTGTGGTTTTCAAGGTACAAAGAGCCACAGCGTGTCTGGCTCGTATTTAGGACCTCAGTAGTGCATCAATTTCCTTCTGGCATTCACCTTCCTGCAGCTTTCTGCCCCTCTTCTCCCCCCACTTGCCTACCTGGTCACCCTTTCGTCAGTATTTATTCTGTCATTATAGCCCTAAGCCAAAGTCACACATGCATCTCAGAGCTTGCCCAGAAGGTCATGATACTTGCAGATTCCCACCACCTGGTAGGCCCAGGGCTTTGAAGTTTGCATACAACCTCTTCCAGGACCCCCTTCTAATTTCCTTGGTAGATGACCTGAGAGATCGGCCCCAATCTAGGGGCAGAGACCCACATCTGTGAAGGCCGCTCCCCTGAGCCCCGCACCCAACACGTCACGAGCGCTCCACCGTGGGCTCTGAAGTTGAGAGGCTGGCCTGATGTGTGGGTCAGGCCCAGCCCTCGGTGGGTGTTTGTGCTCCGAGTGCCAGGCGAGGCCCTTGACCAAAATGCTCTGTCCACCATGCCAGTTGCAGAGAACCTCGGAAGTCATTTCAAAATGGAGGTGCCAAACCGCTGACTCCTGGTCTCTTGGCAGCTAAGATGGGAGAAAGCGTCAGCGAGGCAGAAAGACTAACTTGGGAGCAAGGTCTGTTTCCGGCATGTAACAGCGGGGGCCATTCAGCCCCCAGCCCTGCCTGCATTAGAGGGTCTCATCTATAGAGATGAAGGTACTCAAGTCAAACACCTCGCTTCAGGCATGGCAGAGTGGCCCGAGAAGTTCGACTGAGTTTTTTTTCCCTGTAGAAACGACAGGGGTGACAATGGGGTGGGGGGAAGGGCAGGGACGTGAAAGGACCCCAGAACCTAACACCAAAGGCCTTCCTGTGACTCTGCCCGGGGCCATCACGTGTGACCATGCTTGTGTGAGCATGCTTCTGCTGAAGGGGCTCAGGATCAAGGGCGCACACACGGGCCGGTCTGTGCGCGGGGAAGGGACGTCCGTATCGTACAGATCAACCGGCAATCCGTACCAGCGCGTCCCGTTTAAAGGACGAGGATGGGTGATAGGTCGGTCAAGAGCCCAGTGGTAGACACTTGGTGCACTGACCACAAGGGTCAACTAAACGCTTTCCTCTGCCCACGAGCCCCCCCGCCACCGCCCCCCCAGAAAAGGATCAGAGGTGCACTTCATCAGTGTATTTCAACCAGGTATTTTATTGTTCTGGCGACTGCAAAATATACAAATTTCTGAAAAGCATCCCGTTTGAAAAGCTGGCACACCCTCATCCCAGGTCATTAATTCTGACAATATACAGAACACAGAGAAAGTCGTAAGTCACACGTAAAAGGCCCCCAAACCAACCAACGAACAACTAAACCCGATCTATACAGCATTCTATTTTCAGGCTCCCTTATACATATTAAATAAATAAATAGCACATCTGCTATCAAAATAATAAAAAAATAAATTTCAAGTATTACAAACGAAAACATCATTGGTGTGGTTGTTTCTCTTCTCCCCGCGAATGACGAGCTTCGCCCGTGGTCTCAGGACAGAGTAAGGACAGGGGGTAAGCCCACCCAAAAACAACTATACCGCGTTAACAAAATTGGTCCCAGATATTTTGGGGGGAGTAAGGGGGGAGAGGTGATAGAGTATCAGTAGCCCTATGACCACAGCTCAAACACACGCTCCGTCCAGCGCCTCGGGTCAGATCCCGGCTTTCAGTCGGGAAGCATTCTGACCTCTCTGGGGTCTCTCTCCTCTTCCGTGTTTATGTCCTCTCGCCCCATCTGGGCCCTCACAAATGAGTGTTCAGGATGTTCACTTCCGTAGGTACTGACCTCAGCAGTTGGCGGCCGGGGGAGGGCACCCACACACAGCCCCAGGTGGATCGGTAGGAAGGGTCAAAACTCAAGAGTCGGCTCTGACAGCCAGCATGACAAGGAGGCCAGAAAGAGGGCCTTGTCCAGAAAGAGGGACTTAAGAAAGCTGTTCTCAAGAGCAGAGCCACAGGCCCCTCTGTCTAAAAATACGACCAACCTACAAGCACACGCTTGTGCACACACACTTGCCGTCTGACGAGACTCAAGATGGCAGGAAAGGGAAAATAACCCATCTTCGGTCACACAGGAACAAAGATACACAGACATCGTTTTGGGCAAAGTGCCCAACTGGGGAAGAATGGGGGAGGACCTGAATGTTTCAGTGTGAAACCCACGAACTTGATTGTATGGTATCGGAAGCATGTCCCAATGTCCCACTGAACCCCAACCAGAAAAGCACGTGTTGTCCAGTCTCCGCTCTGGATGTCCGAGTCCCCCACCCCCACACCCCGACCCCACTCCCGGTACATGTCTCGTCAGCTTAGAGGGGCGAGACTGTCAGACTCGAAAGCAGAGGGCAAGCAAGGGAAGTGACCTTTGGCACCAGCTTTTAGAGATTCTTCGAAGATTCCCCAAAGGTCATTTGGGGAAATTCTACCACGGAGTCTCCAAATCATTTCTTCTGGGCCTCAAGACACCTGCTCATCCCCAGTCCATGGAGGCAGCAAGGAGAAACCAGTAGGCAGAAACTACAGGTATTCAGAACCACATGTCCCACAAGCCCTGGTCTGATCCACCCCCATAAAGGCCACAGGAGCCAAAGGCAAGCGAGGACATTCTCTTCTTCGGAATAAAGCAAGCCAGCACCGTGCTGGGTGTATAGCAGATGCTCCACAAAAATATGCAGGATTGAGCTCAGTCCCGTCAGGAGACCACAGACAGCCTCTTGGAGGACGCAGCTGCAGGGGACGTCTCGGCTGGGCCACCGTCCCCACGTGGGAAGCACAGGGAGACGATGAACATCCTGAAGGAAGGAGGCCAGAGCCGTGATCATCTCTGCTCCATCTCCCGGGTCAGTCTTGCAAGGATCCGAACAACTTGCTGCCCGCTGGTTGACTGGGGTCCCTCTGAGCTCCCCATCTCATGGGCATGCCCCGTTCCCCACATGCTTTCCAAGCTCCAGTCTCCAAGGGCATGAACCCCAAACATCGAGGTTCCTGAAGAGAAGGTGCAACCTTCCCATCCCGCCTTCTGCCAGTTAAAAAAGTGCAAGAGCAAGCAGCTCAGGGGGGAGGGGGATGGGGGAGGCCCTGGGGCTCTTCTGGAACAATATTTCCTTTTGCCGACACAGCCAGACTGTCCTTGAGCGTCTCCAGAGGCAGAACGCAGACCCAGAAAGGAAGGCGTGTGGCCCCGCGGCAGGTGGCTGCCGATCAGACAGGCGCGTCTGGCTCAGAGCCTTCTCCCTGCACCTCCGGCCCCAGCCCGGTGCAGGCCTGAATCCTTCCTTCACGAGGCAACGTCTGAGCCACGAGGCACAGAAGAGCCTTGTAAAAGTTTTCACCAAGGTTGTCACCATCCCTTCCTCTTCAGCAACTGAGATCTAGGCCCCCCTTTAACTTTAGGATTCTGGGGCCGAGTGTCATCTCCCCAAGCTGGGAACATACCAGGTCAGGATCATAGAAACTAAACAAAACAAAACAGCGTGGAGGCCAACATCCCCTCCTCGGGGCCTTCTCCCAGCTCCTCTTCGACGGCTCATCATCCTTTCTGAGCCATGCGGAGGGTCAGGGAGGCCAGGGAGAGGGCACGGACCCCACGCACGCCCCCGGGAGAGGCCTCCTGGGGTCTCGGCTGCCCCGCCGCGGTCGGCAGCCCAGTTCTCTCTGACCAGCAGGCCCCTCTTCGATCCCACCCACCCCGTTCTGGAAGAAGTCCTGGGGAATCGCTGGCCTCGGGTAGATGGGAAAAGCACTAACTAAGCTGCAGGAATGGAACTGTAATGGAACCGCCGGGTCCGGCCTCAGTGTGTCCTGGAGTCGATGCTGCTCTGGGTGCCTTTCATGTTCTGTTTCCAGGAGAAGAGAGGGGCAAGGAAAGGGAATTATTATTTCCTGTCCACAAGGCTTCCTAAAGCCAAAAAGACTAAAGCCATGCCATGGAGACCACGTCCCTCCCTCAGACAAAGAACACGACCCCAGAAGAGCGTCATCGCCAAACGGGTGGAAGAAGGCCCAGGTGGGCTCCAGGGCCGTGGTGGAAGTTAAGCCCAGCGTCACCCCACAGAAGGGCCTGGGCAAGGCCGGGCGAGGGCCCTCGGGGCAGAGGCCTGGCACCTGCTTCTAGGAGGCGTGGGAGAACAGGCAGCTCTCGTGGGTCGGAGCTCCGGGCAACACCAAGCGCCCACACTTAAGGAGCCCTCCAGCCCTCGGCCCTTTAGAGCCTGGAGACCGGCCCGCCCGCCCCCAGGGGACTCCAGCCGCCCAAAGCCGGGCAGGAGATGGGCCAGGGGCCCTCCAACGAAGCATAAGGACTCTCCTCCCAACTTGCTCAAGTAGACCGCGCGTCCGGCCCTTGGACCCCAGATTCTAGGAACGGGCCGGGCGCCCAGAACATGGGTGCCACTGGCCGGATGGATGGCACCGGGGAGGAGCCAGGCAAGGACGCCAGGCAGGGAAGGACGCATGTCACTAAAGCTCTCTTCCTGCTCTAACAAAAGCAGTCCTCGCCGGAAGTCCCACCCCTACCTACGACGCTGACCAAGATCAAAACCCCCTTAAAAACCTGTTTCTCAGTCAGCTGGGGCCAGACGGCAGCTGCCAGGGCACACGGCGCGCTCCTCGCCTCACCTCCACCCGCCCCGCCAAGAAAGGAAACAGTTGGTCCAAGTGCTCTTTCCCCTCCTGTCTCTGCCCAGGCCATGTGAAGGGGGCGGGGGAGGAGGGGAGCGGAGGCGGGCACACAGGGGTGCAGGGATCCTGGCGGCCCCCCCTGCTCCCGTGCAGAACCAAGGGCCCACGGTCGGGACGCCTGGACAGAAGAGACTCGCAGGACCCGCAGCCCCCGCTCAGCCCAGGCCACCGCCGCCTCAGGTCACAGGTACGTGAGGTGGTGTCTGTGGGTAGGGGTCTCCCCGGGAGGACCTCGCCGCCTTGCAGCCCGCCACTTAGGGAGCTCGAGGTGCCGCCCGGCCCCACTGCAGCTGCTGGCTCCACCCGGCCCTCCGACCTCGCACGCCCACGGATGATGACGAATGCAACAATGACACTGGGGAGTGCAGGCACGGGCCACGTCACATCACTCACACATGGTGCCCTGGCTCAGGCCATATGGAGGGAAACGAGGAAACAAGAGAGAGAGGACCTCGAGACAATGGTGCTGCTCTTAAAAAAACACGTGTTCTCCGGCACGGGGTGTTTGAGTCACAGACTTGACAATGGCCAGTCTCCACACAGACCGAGATGCCCGGACAGGCTGAGATGCCATGCCTCAGGGAGAGGTGGAGGGGACAGAGAGGGGCATGCACCGAGCCATTTACCTTTCCAAGGTTAGTAAGGAGAAAACTTTGAGAAAATGTGACAAACAGTTCGTCTTTCAAGCATAGTGGGGGGAAGGGAAGAACATGTTGGAAAAGAAGAACAGAACAAAACATCTTTAGTAGTATCTTCTTTTTCGTGTGCATTTGAAATTTAAAAATCAAGGATGCCCGATGGTCTGCTGCCCAGAGCACTAGCGCCACCCGCAGGGGAGGACGGCAGGACGCGGCATCCGACCCGGCAGGCGGGCCCAATTAACCAGGAAACCACGATCTCACAATCTCGCTGGTGTCCTCAGGCCACAACCCGTAAGCCCCCAGGGATTCTCCCCACTCCCCAGTCTCCTGATGCTCCTGCTGCTCATGAGAAGAAACCCCACTGGCCCGTGCAGAAGGAACAGGGGGGCATCCAAATGCAGAGGGAGCGCAAACCCGAGCACCTTGGGCATCCCAGCAAAGCACAGGGCACCGTCTGTCCCGTGATAACGGCTAGCATCCGCCGGGCACAGACTATGTGCTGGACGTTCTGCTAAGCTCCACATCTATATTCTCATGATCAAAACACCTTGTACTGTTCCTGTCTCCATGTTACAGACGAGGAAGCAGAAGTGCTAGAATTGTCCAGAAGTCGAAAGATGGAGGGTAATAAAAACCAAGATCCAAACCGGGCTCAGTTTGACTTGAGTAGTAAAAGTGGGTATCTGCGATCTCAGACGTGGCCTCACACTCCCAGGTGGGGCTGGACGCTGGTGCAGATGTGACGGGTCCAGAGGATACACTTTTGCTGAACTGGAGGGATTCTAGCCAAAGGCACTATGAGCCACGGAGACAAGCAAGTTCAACCTTAGAAGGTGGGGAGGATGTGCCCGAGGGGCACCCTCCCAGCAGGAAGGTGTCTTTCCTGGCAACATCAGGCCATGGCTCAAAAGGAACAGGATGTGCACAGATGCAAAAGTAGAAGCCTCCAAATCCAAAGGCTAGTTTTCACGCCAGGAGAACTCTTGCTCTAGAAGCACTCGGTTACAACGCCTGGCTTCAAGGAGGTACCAGACAGGGGACAGATTGTCTTTAAGACTGAGTTTCATGGACAGGCCCACCAGTAAGTAAACACACGCTAGCTGCAGAGAGCAGGTGCATGGGAGAAGCTGCAAGAGCTAGAAAGGACATCCAAGCAGCTCTGGGCAGTGCCCCACAGGCCTCAAACGTCAGGTGGCCCGGTGAGCGGTAGGTGAACAGTGCCTTGACCGTTCCCAGAAGCCAGCAGAGAGAAGGCAGGCAGCCTTCAGGAGAGGGAGACAGACCCACTCAAGTCCCAGTTCTGCTACTGACTAGCTGGACGGCCGGAGGCAAGGGCCTTACCCTCGTTCATCTGGTAAAAAAGGACAGAACTGCCCTACAGACCTCCTGGAGTTATTTTAAGGCCGAAAGACACGGAATATATGCAAGCAAGCCCATTCTCCGCAAGCTGTAAAGCATCGCAAAATAGATTTCGCTGCAGCTGGGGCCACCTAATCCCAGCATGATGCTAAACGACCACTTTCCAAGAAAAAGCCACGCTTTCAAGCTCACAGGCTGGACTCCTCAAGCCAATTCCATTTCTGCATCTATTAGTCAAGGTCACCCAATCAGCAAAAGGGAGGATGCGCAGGTAGTGACCGGAAGGGTTGGGGCAGGGGGTATATCACGGCAGCTGTTAATGGAACTCCAAGATGGAAGGCCTCGGCTCCTTCTGTGGCGGGGGCCGCCGGAGCAGTGAACACACTGAATTATCTAGCAGCTGCTCTGTTCCGGCTGACACTTAACCAGAAACTTCCTGCAGAACTCCGGCTAAAGGACAGGGGAAACCAATGGGTCTGATTCGAGCGCTGCACCCAATGCTGGTTGTGACCATTAAGGCTAAGCAGATGCTGGTACAGGACAACCAGATCCACAGCAATGGTTCCCAAACAGACCTCCCCAGAGAGCCAGGGTCCTGGAGCCCCAGGGGAGTGGGTCTCTGCTCAGACAGAAGGGAGAGCCTGCAGGGTTGCAGGCCCACCACGCCCACCCCCCCCACCCCCAGAGCCTGTCCTCTGTTTTGCAGACGAGGCCCTGGGTTACTTTTCCTTTCAACATGAAAGGCCTCTCCTAGAGGCAGCACAGAACTTAAAAGACGATGCATCGGGCATTAAGACCTAGCCTGGTGCCAAAATCGGACTTGAGGGAAAAAGGTAGGTTTATGTCAAGCCAGACCCACTGCAAGTACTAACAGTAACGAGGACCCCCGAGGGACGTGCAGGAAGGCAGCTGTGGCAAGCAGGGCAGCAGGACGCGCAGGGGACAGCGGGGCCACATTGCTTCTTGCATCTTTTTCTAAAAATTCATGAATCCCCTTCCCCCTCCCCCAAGGCCGTCTTTCTCTGTCACGTATGACCAAAACTGTCATCGTCCTCCACGTTTTATCAGGCGGGAGGCCAAACTGGCAAGCAAGGAGAAAGAGGTGCGAAAAGCAAAATTATTCAGAGAAAAATACTTACAAACAGGCTTTCCCTAGCAAAGGCTGCAGAGAGAAAAAGTGGAGAGAGAGAGAGAGAAGTCAGTAGAGGGACAGGGTACAGGCCCCGAGTCATTTGAAGCCAGGACATCCTCTGCTGGGACCAGCCTGGCCCCACCCGATGGCTTCCAGACTTCCTGAGGATCCGGCCTGGCAGCCTCCAAGGACTGTCCTGACAGAGTCGGGGGCACCCCAGCCGCGCGTCCTCTGTGACCAGCAGGCCACCCAACCCCGGCCCAGGCCAGTCCCCCCAAGTATCTGCAGCAGCAACCTCCACTTCCAACCGTGACCCCACAATTTACGCCTAAACTGAATGTCACCCACAAACCACTTCAGTTCTCGGTTTTCATAAAAGGACATGATAACATCTTATAGCTGGTGCCGGGGCGGCCACCACCGTGTAAGACGCTCAGCGCGAACGACCTCGTCTGACCCGCCTTCTGCAGTAGGTGCTATTTCCCCTTTCCACAGATGGGGAAACTGAGGCCTGCAGAGGTTCGGTAGCCTGCCTGAGGCTGCCCAGCACTCTGCCCCGCAACGCCAAGTCCAGACACCACGAGATTTAAATGAGCTTCAGGGGAAACGCAGCAAGAGTTCGGGGGCCTCGGCACTGAGCTCTCAAATCCGATTTGAGATTCAGCCTGTGACGTATTTGTGAAGAGCCCAGACATGGTGGGTGGAGGTGGGGGGCCATCTCGAGGTGGCCCCCAAATCTGTGCCTGGGAATTTCTAGGTCTCCCGTATTGGCAAAGAGTCCTGGCTGCCACTGAGAAAAAGATGCTCTTCTGAAAATAAGTCTTAATGCCCAAGAGCCAACATCTGTCAGCTTTTCATCTTCACAGCAAATTAAACTAGTGAAATCTAGCTGGGTTTTTGCTTTTTAGCATCTTTACTACGTGGGATTATGTGGCATCTGTGTTGTGTGAGAAAGTCGCTCTTCCCAGGCCGTCCTGCGAGGCTGGCTGCCCAGGCTCTACCCCAGCTCTGGAGGAGAACATGCTTTTCTACAACGGGGACTGCACAAGGAAGCACGGAAGGAAGATCCTCGGCCATCGGCCTAGGACAGAAAAGACGTCCTCGGGCCACGTGTGGCCGACAACCCAGAGCCGAAGGGAGACTTCTGAACTAGGCCTCTGTCTTCAATTTTGTTTGAGAAAAAAAGTATTCGGGAATGTGAGTGGGACCCAGACACTTGGCCATTTCTCCTGTTCCACCCCGTTTTGCCTGGGAAGAACAGCTGCTCAGAAAGGAGGCGTGCACGCGCGCAGCCGTGGTCAGCAAGGAAGGACCCCAGGGTGCCACGAACCTCGGTTGGGGGGGGGATCCCCATGTTCTCTCCCTCCCCAACCCGCACACGCAGGCCTGGGTCTGAGGCCACCGCTGCCCCCAGGGGGGCTCTCCTCCCACCCCACACTGACTGTGAGAAAGGAAAGGGGTCAACGCACTTGTCCGGGCAGCTGCGTGGGCACCTCCGGGGGCAGGCAGTTGGGCAGGGCAGCGGAGGTAGAAGCCACATGCTCCTCAAAGCTGTTGATGCGAGGCTTTTTGGTGGGCTCGGGGCTGGCTAGTGGGGTGACACTATTGCGTCTCATGAGCGGGTTAGGTCCCTTCTTTGCATCCTAAGCAAGACAAAGACAAAAGAGAGAAGGCGACAGTTACAAGGAGTGGGGAGGTAAATAAGCCAAAAAAAAAAAAAAACCCCCAAACAAATAAAACAAAACAAAACAAAAAAAACCCAAAACCAAACAAAACACATTTCTCTGCTTCTGGATTTTACAGATTCGAGACTGACCACGGTGACTGACCCTGGGACCACGGGGTTGCAATTCTGTCCTGTGACTCCCAGTTGGCAAGAACGAGGGAGGATGTGCTGAGCCCCTTTCCCGAAACATTCCAAGACGCCCACTCGGACAAACGCAACGTTCACAAAGCAGGTGAGGAACGGACAGCAAGACCAGCTCTGTGGACAGTCATTCAGGGAAAGCAGATAATGAGATCGGAGGAAAGAACCTTGTTGCCAGCCTCTGAGAGAGCCGAGAAAGGGGAACGGAGGCCTGAGTGTGAGGCTCAGGTCACCACGGAGGGGACAGCAAGGAGGGGGAGAGGGAAGGAGCCGGGGCTGGTCTCCCCCCACCGACCGCGAGCCAGGGTGCGCACAGCAGATACGAGATGGTTCCTGCTCCCCATTACTACACCCCGGCTTAGGACAAGAAATGCAAGCTTCAACCCCCGCCAGGAGAGCAAAGAGGCAGAAAATCGGAGGTGGGCAGAAACAGCAAGCCAGGGCCAAACACTAGCCTTCCGATCGAGTGACAATGCAACAGGAGCGAGGACTTCTGTCCCAAGGCCCTGGGACTCTGCAGCCTGCAGCCCAGAAGCCTGAGCAGAGGTCAGTCTCCCTCAAGACGCTGCCCCAGTTCCACACAGCGAGGTGCTCAGGGACCATCGGAGCCCAGTGGAGGCCCAGCCTCGCTGGCGGAGTCAGGCTGGGAAACCGCTCCTCACCCCACCACCCACGTTCAGAAGCAGGGGCCGCCACAGGGCCAAGCCTGGCTGTCCATCCTCCTTTCCCTTTGGTCAACCAGCCAGTCAACGGCTGGTGGAAGCTGGGACTTTCATGCCAAAATCTTGTGGCCAAGCTCCTTGGGAACAGGGAGGTAGGTGTCCTGCACGGACGGGAACATCACACTCCGTGGAAGAGAAAAGGGTCAACTGGCGAAGCGTTGTGGTTTGACAGATAGTCGGTGGAAAGTAAGTCCAACGTTCCTTCCCAACCACGCCCGGGCAGCGGACTGCTGTGCCCGTGGGGGCTCCGACCTGGCTGCCCCGCCAAGGGTGAGGCCTCCCCAGGGGAAATCAGATGCCACCAGGCCTGGGGTCTCCTGAAGAAACCTTCCACTCACCGAGTGGTCCCTGGAGTCCCTACTTCGCAAACCACACCGCCTCTCCAGTCCCACCACCCCCTTGCCACAACTTTCGTCTTCTTGCTAATTCTGCACCTAAGCGTCCGCAGACAACTGAGCGCATTTGCTAATCCCGTCTGCACCACTCTAAACGTGAAAGGCGTCTCAGTCACCCCAAAGGAAGACATTGGCTGTGCTACAGTTATGCTTGCAAGAGCGGAATGTGTCTTCCGCTTTAATACCCATTCCCTGGGTTACATCGAAATGGGGGGCGGGGGGGAAATATGGAAAGTAAGAAAAAGATGCCAAGAAGCCACATACAGAGGCAGGGCAGGAACACACAAATGAAAAGGAAAGGCAGGGGAGAAAGTCACAAAGACCGGCTGATTTCCAACAAACTCCCTCAGCGAGAACCCGGTGCTGAAGGATGCAGGTGCGCGGTTACAGGTAATGTGACGTGGGGGCCTCCCCAGGGCTCGCACACCTCTGGCCCTGTCACTCCAGAGTCCCTCCCAGGATGGAGGACGGAGGGGGAAGCCGGAGTGCACTCACCTCTGACCTCTCCCGGTGCGTGCTCACAGACTCCACATGCAGGTAGATGGACTCTACACGGCAGCCTGCGTGAGGGTGGGGACAGAGGTTGGCTTCCAGTTCAAGGGGACAGGCCACGTCCACTCGAGAGCCACCAGGAGCCACTGTCCCAGGGAAGCAGGGCGTGGCAGGGGCTGCGTCACCACACTCACCGTAAGCAACAGGTGTCAGTTTGAGGACGGTGTGAAGGGGGCATTTCAGATAAGGCATCTCCTCTGAAAAGAAGAGAAAGGGACTCACGATGAGACACAAGCCTTGAGGACGGACACTTGCAGGTCCCCAGGGAGAGCTTCGGCCACGGCGTCGGCGCCCTCGGGGTCCTGGCCGAGCGTGTCTCCGTGCCCCCCACCCCACACACAGGCCCCTCCTGCTCAAGGCAGGCGGCCCTAGGAGAAACCCCTAGCCAAAAGAACACGATCAAAACCAACCCCAAACCTGCCCTCACGCCGTGTGTTAGAGTTTAAAAGTCATTCCCCGGTTTAGGTGCGTGGGGATTTGGGTGAAGCTTGGGTAGACACAGGCTTAAATTTTAAGTCTCTTAAGTCTCATGAATTTTCTGGGTGCTTTGTTCTTTAGAGGTGGGCTGAAGCGCTGCCCCCGGCCCGCCGCCCAAAGCCCCTGAGATGTGAGGAGCTGAGGACTTTCAGGAGGCTGTTTCGCGAAGCCCTTAAGCCCACCAGACTGTGCATCAACTGTGCTCTGAAGGCCTTCCCGAGGGCTGGCCGGGAAGCCCTGGGCCAGGAGGCCTGCCCCAACACCCAGCAGCACAGCAGATGACCCGTGTGGCCTGGGTGGGGAAGGCCTTGGTCTGCAGCAACCCCACACTCCAAGGCCAGTCTCCCTCCTCCCTCTGGGGGAGCCCGACTGGCTCCTAATCGCCCCCACCATCCCGAGGAGGCTTGGGAGGACGGCAGCACCTGCACTCTTATCCAGGAAGTAGGCCAAGAGGCAACGCAGGACGGCCTGATGGCAGATGACCAGCACGTTCTCCTGGCGCTCCAGCTCCATGATCACCGGCTCCAGGCGCTGGACCAGGTCCTGGTAGGACTGCAAGACAGACAGACAGGGATGCTGCGTTGGAATAGAGGTGCACGCAGGGAAGGGTGGGGGCCACGCCTTCCTGTGGTCAGAAACCAGGGGACACAGAATCAACTGAGAATCGATCTACAGCCGGTGGTGTTTCCGTGGCGCATCCCTCCTGGGCGCCGGGGGACCCACCCCCACTGGCTTCCTAGAAAAGGGAGACTGTCCCCCTGTGGGTGAGGATGTGGAAAAGCAGTCCTCCGAGAGGACCGTAAACCATCCTCTCTCACGGCTGCTCCCTGATCCTCCACATGGGGGAGGGAATGACGTCCTGACACACGCTTACGACGTGGAGGACCCTTGAACACGTTACACTAAGCGAAAGACGCCAGACACAAAAGGCCACGTGTTATACGACCCCCTTTCTATGAACTATGCAGAAGAGACATGCCCACAGACACACAGAGTAGATCCGTGGTTGCCGGGGCCTGGGGGTGGGGGTCACAGGCTGCCTGTTCTTTTGGGAGTGATAGAACGTTCTAGAATTAGTGGTAACAGTTGCACAGTATTTTGAGTGCACTAACCACAACTGAATCGTCTACTTTAAAATGGGGAAGTTTATATTGTGTGAATTTCCTCTCAATAAAAAGAAACTGAAAAAGAAGGGGCTGACGGGTGGCTTTTAAAAAGGACCACCACAGGGCGCCTGGGTGGCTCAGTTGGTTAAGCGACTGCCTTCAGCTCAGGTCATGATCCCAGGGTCCTGGGATCGAGTCCCGCATCGGGCTCCC